GTGATAAAAAATCGGCTGTATTATCTTCGGATTTCTCATATTTTATGTCGAAATCGAATGATGATAAAACATAGGCCCATCGTTGTAAYCTATTAGCCGCGTAAATTGGGATACCTTTCTTATCACCGAAAATATATATTAACGGTTTCTAATAGAAAATGCCTACCATATAAATAGTCATAAAATTTCGTAACCCCGTAAACAATTGCTAAAGCTTCTTTTTCAATTTGTGGAAATTTACATTCTGACTCAGATAGAACTCTTGATGCATATGCTATAGGTTTTTCAGTACGATCTAGGTACACATGGGAAAGAACTGCGCCTAGTGCATAAGATGATGAGTCTACAACGAGTTTAATCGGAATATTATGATCATAATGTGCCAATACGGGTTTCGAAATTAAAATTTGTTTGACTTTATTGAATGCTTGGTCACATTCTGGTGTCCAATTACATTCACTGCCGTTACGTAAAAGAGTGTACAATGGTATTAAAATATTTGTAGCGTTTGGAATAAAGTTTATATAATACGTAACTAAACCTAAAAATGATTTTAGCAATGTTTTATTTTCTGGGACAATGGCATCGTTTATAACATCTRTGTGTTTTGTTAGTGTATGTAAACCATTTTCGTCTAACCTGTGACCCAAACATTTAATTGGCTTTTGTATAAATTTGTATTTATTCAACTTTAATCTTAAACCTGCATTTGACAATACATTTAGTAATTTGTCTAAACGAGCATTGTGCTCTGTGATAGTGTCGTCTTGGAATATACCTATGCCCTCGAGACCTGCTGTGGAAGTTTCCATAGCTTTTTGAAACTCCYCTTCTGACGACTTTATTCCAAAAGGGTTACGTGTATAGCTAAATAAACCTTTATGTGTGATAATAGWGGTATATTTGCGATCCGATTCTTTAATAAYCATTTGTTGGTATGCGTCTTTTAAATCTATTTTCGAAAAAAAATTTTGAACCACTAATATTTGCATATAAATGTTCTATTTTTGGAAGAGGGTATTCAGTCCCTTCTAATACCGGATTTATTATTATTTTAAAATCACCTTAAATTCTAACCGTGCCGTCTGGTTTTAATATTGGTACTATTGGATTTGCCCATTCGCTGTGATCGACGGGAACTAAAATGTTGCTTTTGATTAAACGCTCGATTTCGGATTCAACTTTTCCCTTTAATTCTAAACGAATAGACCTATGTTTGTAAAATTTAAGTACTGCCCCCGCTTTGATATTTAATGAAATTTCGTATTTGTTAAAAGTG